ACCCGGGTCTCTCTGAACCGCAGGCCGACGCTCCAACCGCTGAGCCAAACTGGCCAGGGCGATAAATGTCTTTATTAATGAAACCAGTTTAAATAGGCGTTTTTCTTAACCGAAGCTGAAAGCATCTTAACTTTAGAGGTACTATTACATTAAGAAATGTGAGCACCAGTGGCCATAGGCAGAAAATGGAGAAATCACCACAAAGAGAAATTCAGAATGTAATTAGTGCAAAATAGCAGGAGCAGCAGTTGAGAGGGATGTGTCCATGTCCTTCATCCCGCTGGGGATTCCCAGCAGCTCGGAAGCCACACCTACACACTCGAACATACATTTATGCTAATGATATACCATTTTAATGTATTTTACTTTGGGTTTCCATGAAAATTTTATATGGCAATGATTCTCTTGCTAAAATTTTAGCTACTACATTTAAATTTTCAAGAGCTCTTTAATTATTCCATTTAAAAAAATAGCATCCTGTTCTTGTTTCTTAGCTACAGTTTCTATTTTCTCTCTAAAGATAATTAGTTTTTTAAGTTGGGGTTCTGTGCATTGAACGTTGCCTGTTTCCTTTGTTTTGGTCTCTGCCTTTTGCATTGAAGGCTCTCCTCAAATGCCTAGTGATGGTCCTTGGCTCTCCATGCATACTGGTGTTAAGCCACTCAAAAGCTAACTGGAAGCTGGGGTGGGGGAGCCATCGACCAGTCAGAGAAAGACAAATACCGTATGATCTCGCTTATATGTGGAATCTAATGAACAAAAAATAAACTGACCAAAATAGAACCAGAGGCATGGATACATGGAACAGACTGACAGCTGTCAGAAGGGAGGGGAGACTGGTTGAAAGAAGGTGAAGGAATTAGCCAAAGAATAAAGAATATATATGTCATATAAACCCTGACAACAGTGTGGTGATAGCCAGAGGCAGAGGATGGGGGCTAGGGGTGGAGGTAGGCAAACTTGGGGAAAATGTGGAGGGAAAGAGACCTTGCTTGGGGCAATAGGCACACTGCAGTGTGCAGATGATGGTTCACTGAGTTGTACACTTGAAATCTGTATGGTTTTGCAAACCAATGTCACCTCAATAAATTCAGTTGAACACAAAACTTCACTATAGAGTATGTGCGTGCGTGTGTGTGTGTGTGTGTGTGTGTGTGTGTAGGGGGTAGGGTTGAACTGGATTCTTCTTTTCAAATTCTGGTCTGAGGATTTTTTTTTTTTAATCCTCACCCGAGGACATTTTTCCATTTTTTGCACAGATAGAGTGGGAGGGAGAGAGAGGAAGAGAGAAAGAGAGGGAAACATCGACGTGAAAGGGACACATCGAGTGGCTGCCACCCGCACGACCAACCAGGGCCGGGGACAAACTGCAACCGAGGTATGTGCCCTTAGCGGGAACCGAACCCGGGTCTCTCCGGACCGCAGGCGGATGCTCTAACCGCTGAGCCAAACCGGCCAGGGCTGAGGATATTTTTTAAATTGACTTAGAGAGAGGAAAGGCGAGAAAGAGAGAGAAACAGATCGGTTACCTCTCATATGGGCCCTAACTGGGGATTGAACCCAAAGCCATTCAAATGATCTTACCTTGAACATTATAAACCTGGCTGTCGGGATTCTCAGGGCCAGATGGATAGAAGCAAGTAGAAAAGGGGAACGGGGGTCTTTCTGGTCAACATGCAGGTTTTAATTTAGTTCTTTTTCCAGTCTGGAATCTCACTAACACTCTCCCCAAGCTTGAAACCTTCTGATTCTACTCCTCCTAAAAATAAACCTCTTAATATCCTATGAAAGTAAGGGGCGGGAAAGGTTCTTTCTTGGCATGGGATAGGGTAGAGACTTGGGTGCATCTAACTGTTCCTTATACAATCTTCCACCTCAGTCCTGTTTTCAGGCACATATCTCAACTCCACCTTTTGTGGTGTCTGGTGCCTCTAATTCTTGAGATCTTCTCTGGGGCCAATTACCTACATCTAGAAGGCAGTCCTTCGTGTGCCATTGAAGTTTCTGCTTGCTCTTCTTTGTAGTAGTTCCTCAGCCTCCTGTTGCTGTCTACCTTCTAAAAATTGGTTGGCATCTCTCACCCACTGGTGCCTCCTTTCCCATTCTGTTGTCCCTGTCTGTTTATAGCTTTCTTATTCCTTTACTGCCATTTTAGTAAAGTTTCAGCAGAGAATGAAAACAGAGCATGTCTTTAATTCAACACTTGTAACCTGAAATCCAGAGTCTTTGGACCTGCTGGCTTTACTTTAGGGCAAAGAGGTAGCTGGAGTAAACAAACTTTGTGCCCACACTGCATTTTACTTTTATCATTAATAGCTATTTTCATATTTAATAAGTTACTTCTTTCTGTGGTTTAGCTTCTTTACAAGCTTGGTTTCATTCATCTATATCCTCCATTTCTTAGCACCTCACAGCATCTGCCTTATAGTACAGACACCTCATTTGAAATATTTTAAAATAGGGTTACCTGAATGTGAATACAAATGAGCTTACCTGGGCAGCTAGACCTTAACTTCACTAGCTTGTGTTGCTGAACCCTACCCTCTCTTCCCCATCCACAGCCTCCTGTAGAACCTCAGTCCCCTTTCTAGTAAGTAGTTGGGAGTCCCCAGGAGGCCGAAGGGCATGTAATCACATCCTTCTCGGCTGTTGCACACGCTGTTTTGCCCTATCCACCTTCTGATTCTTTCCTTGGGATGTTATTGCATCATTCTGCCTAAGGGCACAGGTACCCAGTGCTCTTTCTGATACCTCTAAAATTAGGATGCTTTCCATTTCAAGTTAGAAAAGCTCCTAATTCAAACTGTTGTGACCTTGAGCAAGTTATTAATCCTTCTAGCCTTCTGCCCTTCATGTGAAAATGAGGACAGCACTTATCTCAAAGGATTATGTGAGGAATAGCTGAGGAAATACACCCAACGGGCTTAGCATAGTACCTTGTCCTGTAATGCTCAGTGCTAATTACTGTTCTCTTAGTGATTCCAGAACCTAAAAGTGGCTCTAGTTCAGTGGGACCAGCTTGTCATGTTGTCTAACAGGAGTGCCCATCACCTGCCAGCCACTGGGCCTGTCCATAAGATCTTTGTGTAAACATTGATCTCATGTAATCCTTACAACTTTTTAATTTTTTTTTTTCCTTTATTGATTTTAGAGAGAGAAGTGAGAGGGAGAGATAGAAACATCGATCAGAGAGAACATCAGTTGGCCGCCTCCTGCATGCCCCCGACTTGGGATCGGGCCCGCAACCTGGGCATGTGTCCTGACCAGAAATCAAACTGGCAACCTCTTGGTGCATGGGTTGACACTCAACCAGAGCCACACTGGCCGGACACTTACAACTTTTAAGTTAGAGATGAATTATCTCTATTTTACAGATGAGGAAAATAAGGTTTTCAGGTAACTCAGCCAAGCATTCACATGCTAACGTGTAATGCATTTAAAATATAAAGCCAGAAGTTTGAAGTAGAATAATAGATGATTTTTAGAGAGCACATTGTGAGAGAAAGAGATTTTAATTTTTTATATACTCTTCTGTATCTATCTGAATAATTTTTACCATTTCCATGTATGATTTTGTTTTAATTATTAGCTAATAATCTCACCAAAATATATTGCCCCCCACCACCAAAAAATGCTAAGTAAAACTGAAACTATGTATCAAAAAAAAATTTTAATGGTCTTAAATTTTCTTAGTAGAACAAAAGGGGCTAACTACATTTTTGCAACGTTGCAGTTTTCAAATTGCTGTTGTTACCACCCCAGTTCTTTGTTTTCTTTTCCTCCCCACCAAAAACATCAAGTTTACAAGGCTCTATGAGCCATCTTTGGCCTAGTTTCCTCCACTTACCAATTCTCTTAGCTTTTAATCAGTATTTTACACATTTTTTAAAAAACCAATCCTAGGCATTGAAACATGCTACAAAAAGAATACCTAATTCAATCTGCTTTAGCAAGATGTTTTGGGATTATAATCCTTTTAGTAGAATATAAAATTATTAAGCAGAACACAAGAATATTTTTAAGCAGAAATGTAAGGCAAATTCTAATAAATTAGCTCATCCTCACTTTCAAATCTATGAGTTGAGGGCTCAGCTTATGTTCACACATTCTGCTGTTGGTTTTTTTCAGGAGTCCACCAAGTTTTTCTTGAAGAACCAGATAGCAAATATTTGAGGCTTTTCAGGCTAGGGAGTAAAATTGAGGGCTTAAATAAGAATTTAAAATGTAATTATGTAAAAATGTTAAAAAATAAATTTCTAGCTCACAGGCGGCTGGCCAGATTTGTCTCATGAGCTAGTTTGCTGATATCGAGTCTATTTGTTAAATTCCTTCCCTTTCTTGCATCATCTGGAAGTATGATGTAATGCCCTTTTCTCAAAAAGGAGTGATTTTTTTCCTGTCTAATGTCAGACTGTCATGACTCATTAGTTACTTGCACTGTAACAAAAATACACCCACACAGTTGTTTATGCAGAATAGTTTATTTATATATTTGATATCTGTACAGATGTCTTTGTCCTTATCTTTATATTTGTCTCTGTATTCTTACTGAACCTCATTAATTCCTAAGGGATAAGGCCTGTATCTGTTTAACTCAGTTTGTAACTCGTAGCATAAGCATCAAATGGACATCTGACACATCTCAGCAATAATAAAACAGAAGAGAAAACAATCGAACATAAGTCAACAAGAGATACAAGAAAAAAGCAGGTGGAAATACATAAAAAAATTCTTCTTTTAGGATTAAGCTATACATAATTTGTAAAATCTACATGTCTTTAAGTTTATACATGAGATTCTTTTTTTTTTTTTTTTTTAAAAAGGAGGAAAATTGCAACAAATAACAAAAATAAAAAATTCAAAGTCAAGGTAACAAATATTTTTGGCTCCTGGACTAAAAAAATGATGATCAGTGAGGAAAAACGAGTGATGATCAGTGAGGAAAAACGAGATGTGAAGAGAAATGAAATAGACCATACTACTGATGTTCTCTTTATGTTAAAAAAAAAAAAAAAAAAATTCGCCTTTTAATCTTATTTGGATTGACTGGAAATGAGTAGTAATGACCTTTTTGGGATTAAAAAAAAAATCAATGACACAGTTCATTAAACAAAAGGTTTTTTTCTAACATGGAAGCATAGGAATAATATTAGAAGCATAACAAAAAGAAAAGCACATGAGGCCCCATTCTGTCCATTGCAACCTCTTACATTCATTGAGACAGACGGCCTGGAAAACACCCAGTTAAGCCAGAAACCTCTAAGTTTCCATGACACCTTTGGAAAGGTTAACAGGGTTTGCAAAGTATTTAGCAAAGCAACTTGATGATTTAAAATACATATTTAATGACAAGTAATCAAACCAATGATCAGAAAAACTGATGAATGCCTTTCCCTTTACAATGTGATATTAAAGTATTATCTATGGATGCTTTGTAAACTAAAAAGTGTTTGAAGTTAAATTTTTGTTTTAAAAAAATTGACACCATTAAAACCAACATGATTATTTGCCACTCATCCAACCACTGAGGTAACAGTATTATAAAAATATGTAAAAAATATTCTAGATTCATAATTACTAGATATGCTGATTCCCAAAGAACATATAAATTGATTAAAAAAATAGTTTTTTTTTCATTAAAAACACTTGGTTCATTTACCATTAAATATCAGATAGATATTTGCTATCCTGGTGTACCAAAAGTATTACAAATAAAAATGGCAATGTTTATACTTTGGGTTTCTTGTTAGGTGGATCCTGAAGACTAAACTTTGGAATTTCACCAGAAGGAGCATATGGAATTCTCTTTGAAGACACCTTTTTGCCAATTGTTTCAATCTAGGAAAGAAAAAGAGAGACTTTAGAAAGAAAACTATTAAAAGTATAATACATAAATGTAAAAACTCCATAATGAAGTGTAAAAGGGGGCAGGAAGCAGAAAACATTTTCCAAGTTGTCTGAGTTCTTCCCTATTTTTTATGTTTCTAGAGTCTATGTACACTCCACTTTCCATATTCACTTCTAGATACTCTCACACTTTCCAGTCCCAACACTGAACACACCCTCAGAGTGGAGAATCATATACTGCGATTGTTTTAGCAGCATATATGCAGGCAATTAAGACACTAGATTCCAGTTAATTCACATTCTTGCTCATATTCTATTTTCATGTCCATTTCCCTTATTCTAAAAAATTTGCAGAAGGTCTCATAGCATAGTTTTTAGGAGTTCAGGCTTGAGGGTTTGGAAAGCCCAGGTGGAATCCTGACTGATAATTGCTCTGTTTCCTAAACTCTCTAGGTCTTTCTTCCTTGTTTGTAAACGGTATTACTACCTGCCTCAAAGGGTTATGGTAAGCATTAAATTAGATGAAGTGCTCAGCACAGTGTTTGGCGTACAAGTCAGACTTCAATAAAGTCAAATTTTATTTTGCATATTACATTTTAAACTATTTTCCATATATATAAAATCACCAATCTTAACTTTAAAGATACTGCTTCTTAAATAGTCATAAGTTTATATCCTCTCTACAGCAGAGATAAATATACTACACAATTTTCATAAATGTCTTTTCAATTAAAAATACTTAATTCTGACTCATTCTAAAAATGGGTTTCTGCTTTGTATTACTGAACTGTCTTATTTAACGACTTATAAATTCTCTTTATTTAGTGTTTCCATTCCTAAATGTTTTTTTTTAAAATCCTTACTAGAAAAAGTTAACTTATAAGAATTCAAACTCATTTGAAATATAGCTCTTTACATATCTTCTCCCTTACATGAGATGAGTTAAACAGGAATGAGAGAAAATTTGTCTATGCCTTGCAAACAATCTTTAAAAAAATAACATCGCTGAACTTCCGGTCAAGATGGCAGCGTAGGTAAACGCGGTATCGCGTCCTCCCACAACCACATCAAAGTTACAACTAAACTACAGAACAACCATCATTCAAAACCGCCTGAAATCAAGCTGAATGGAAGTCCTACAACTACGGGATTAAAGCAGCAGCCACATCCAGACTGGTAGGAGGGGCGGAGGCACGAGGGGCTGGTCCCACACCCACGTGTGGCGGATAAAAATCAGGAGGACACCTCGGCTGGGAAGGTCCTTCCTGAGGACTGAGGGGTCCCTGTCCCACACCAGGTGCCCCGCTCAGGGTTCCAGTGCCAGGAAGAGAATCCCCATAACTTCTGGCTGGAAAAACCAGCGGGAACTGAGGCTCAGGGAGCCTGAGGCGGCTGGAGTCCCAGGCAGCTCCTTTTTTTTTTTTTTTTTTTATCCTCACCCGAGGATATTTTTCCATTTTTTGTACAGATAGAGTGGGAGGGAGAGAGAGAGAGAAACATCGATGTGAAGGGACACATCGAGTGGCTGCCACCCGCACGACCAACCAGGGCCGGGGACAAACTGCAACCGAAGTACGTGCCCTTAGCGGGAACCGAACCCGGGTCTCTCCGGACCGCAGGCCGACGCTCCAACCGCTGAGCCAAACCGGCCAGGGCCCAGGCAGCTCCTTAAAGGGCCCACGCACGGACTTATTGGACTTGCTCCCGCTAAGCTTGGAGGGGAGGCAGCTCGAGGGGCGCCAGAGACATACAGGGAAGAACTGAGCTGTTTGGCATTGGAGCGAGGGCTGGAGAGGGGGCTTTCTCCGGGATAAACGTGCTGTCAGAGGCTTTTGTTCCTTTGGTGAGCCCTTCCCTGGGGCAGCAGACCCCTACCATATCTGGGACTCCAGCAACCTGGCTCACACTGGTTGCCCGGCCCTGGTGATTCCCTGAGGCCCTGTCCCACCCAACTTTCAGGCCCACCCAAGCTGTTGGCAGTTGCTTAACCATAGGATTGGCCTGTCTTGGATCCTGCTTCAGGTTTTCCTAAATTCTTTCAAACAAGCAGCATCTGGTCTCAGATAACCCCACACCTCTCCTTAATACACAGAAACAAACACAGAGAGGCAGCCAAAATGAGGTGACAAAGAAACAGGTCCCAAATGAAAGAACAGAACAAAACCCCAGGAAAAGAACTAAGCGAAATGGAGATAAGCAACCTAACAGATGCTGAGTTCAAAATACTGCTTATAAGGATGCTCAATGAACTTAGTGAGAACCTCAGTGAACTTAGTGAGGGCCTCAAGAGCATAAAAAAGACCAGTCAGAAATGAAGGAGGCAGCCCTGGCCGGTTTGGCTCAGCGGTTAGAGCGTTGGCCTGCGGTACGGAGAGACCCGGGTTCGGTTCCCGCTAAGGGCATGTACTTCGGTTGCAGTTTGTCCCCGGCCCTGGTTGGTCGTGCGGGTGGCAGCCACTCGATGTGTCCCTTTCACGTCGATGTTTCTCTCTCTCTCTCTCCCTCCCACTCTATCTGTACAAAGAATGGAAAAATGTCCTCAGGTGAGGATAAAAAAAAAAAAAAAAAAAAAAGAAATGAAGGAGGCACAGTCAGAAATAAAGGAGGCACTAACTGAAATAAAGAATAATTTACACAGATTCAATAGTAGAGTAGGTAAAGCCAAGAAGCAAACCATCGATTTGGAATGTAAGGAAGCAAAAAACACCCAATCAGAATGGCAAAAAGAAAAAAGAATACAAAAAAATGAGGATAGTGTAAGGGGCCTCTGGGACAACTTCAAGCGTGCCAACATTCGCATCTTGGGGGTACCAGAAGGAGAAGAGCGAGAACAAGAAATCGAAAACCTCTTTGAAACAATAATGGAAGAAAACTTCCATAACTTGAAGGAAGCAGACATACAAGTCCAGGAAGCACAGAGAGTCCCAAACAAGATGAACCCCAAGAGGCCCACACCAAGACACATCAAAATGCAAAAGGTTCAAGACAAAGAGAGAATCTTAAAAGCAGCAAGACAAAAGCAGTTCGTTACCTACAAGGGAGTTCCCATAAGACTGTCAGCTGATTTCTCAAAAGAACCTTTGCAGGCCAGAAGGGAGTGGCAAGAAATCTTCAGAGTGATGAAAAGCAACAACCTGCAACCAAGGTTACTCTATCCTGCAAAGCTGTCATTTAGACTCGATGACCATATAAAGAGTTTCCCAGACAAGGAAAAGTTAAAGGAGTTCATCACCACCAAACCGTTATTATATGAAATGATGAAGGGTCTTCTTGAAGAAAAAGATAAAAAATATGAACAAAATGGCAATGAATACATATCTTTCGATAACTGAATCTACAAACAAAATGAACAGGCAGAAGAGAAACATTGTCATAGATACAGAGAACATTTTGTTGGTTGCCAGATGCGAAGAGGTTTGGGGGAATGGGTGAAAAAGGTGAAGGTATTAAGAAGAACAAATTGAGTGCTAGACTGACAAACCTCAAAGAGAAGGGAGTTGGGGGGTGGGAAGAAATAAACCAAAAAACTTATATGCATAACCAATGGACACAGACAACAGTGTGGGAGAAGGCAGGATGGGGGGTGGGAGTGGGGAGGAGGGCGTCAATGGGGCAAAAATGAGGAACATCTGTAATATATTCAACAATAAAGATAAAAAAATAATAACATTGCTGAGTTAAGTTATGACTGGGAAGTCATGCTGTTACTCGTTAAGGCTGGTGGGATAGAGAATCCCCCAGGTCCTTGATGAAGTGTTAACAGACAAGGGTGCCATTTGATTCTTGCTGCAAGTGGATCTCTCATGAATAAGGAATGAACACTCACTTCTAAGTAAGAAAGATCTTCCAGTTCGGTGACAGGTTAAGAGAATCAGATCAGATATTTTGAACAGTAGATGAAACCTTATGGGTGCCTCCAAGACAGCTGGTGCTAAGCAAACACACACAGCCAGCTCTGAACTTGTCCCTTTCCGCTCTGCTGGGGGGCTGTGCGGACAGCAGTCTCCTGGCACATTTCTTTCTCCTCCCTGACCTCCCCAAGCCTCCCACCCCAGACAGACTGCTGTGAGGAAACAGAAAGTAGCTCCTTCTTATTAATATTTTTGGGACCCCTGTTGGAACTGAAATAGATGCAACATACAAACGTACTATTCTGAGCAGAGGTTTCTGTCAGTTTCCTAAGCATTACATAACTAACTGACATACAGAAGAAGAGGGCCAATACCACGGAAACCCCCACACTTCTTCAGACCTCTCACAGAACTAGGACCCTTTCAGAATCCAGCAGGCATAGGATCCTATACCAACATGTGGCAACTACATTGCATTGTGGGTTTTTTGTTTGTTTTTATCCTCACCCAAGGACATTTTTCCATTTTTTGTTCAGATAGAGCGGGAGGGAGAGAGGAAGAGAGAGAGAAACATCAACGTGAAAGGGACATCAAGTGACTGCCACCCGCACGACCAACCAGGGCCGGGGACAAACTGCAACTGAGGTATGTGCCCTTAGTGGGAAGTGAACCCGGGTCTCTCTGGACTGCAGGCCGACGCTCTACTGCTGAGCCAAACCGGCCAGGGCTGCGTTGTGGCTTTTAAGACATTTGTGCAGGAACAAAAGACTGAGGGGTCAGTGTGATGCAGACAGAGCAGCCTTGGAGATTCCAGAAAAAACATGTTTCATATATTTTCTTGATATGAAGTCAGGCAGGGCACCTTTTGTCCCTATATGATAGGCAACTAATGAATTCCTAGATACTATGTAGGGGAGACCAAGACTGAATGACCTTTAGATCATAAATTTAAGGAGAGAGTAGAACAGTTACAAAAATCCCATAGAGACTTCCTAGAGAATTGCCCCAGAGTCACGGTGCCCCAGATTCATGTTATTGTTAATGAGAAAATAGTAAAATTCTAAAACGCAAAACCATTAAAAAGCAAATGGCCAAACAAACAAAATAAAACATCTAAGATCATGACTACCTGGAAGCCAATGGTTTGTAGTTCATTGTGGAGCCCATCCAGGACACGTCGTCCATCAAAAATAAAGGCTGGCTTCAGCATTTTCTTGTGAATACGTTCATAATCTAATTCCTATAAAGACAGAACCAAAGGAGCAATAAGAACCCAAACACATGGGCACATACTCAGCCCCAAATGATACTAAACACCTCTAAAATTTTCCTGCTACTGTTTCTGTCGCCTCACCTTAAACATGTCCCACTCGGTGCAAATAACAACAGCATGGGCGCCATCACATGCTTCATATGGATCCTTAGAAATGGTCACAAGTCGGGACACTGTAACAGCAGCAGTGAAAATTAGCAATAGGCAAGGAGTTATTTGCAAGGATGCATTGTAACACTAGGACTGCCGGCGGAGCTGAGGGTCTGAAAGAAAGGAATGGTCTGGCAAAAGTGTGAGGGAGGGGAATGAAGCACCCCAACCTTGCCCTAGAAACATCTCCTTGGAACCTCTGGGGCTTTTTAGAATATTTAGGGAAAAATCATTAAAGTAACCCACAGCTCATCACTTCAAATCAAAGTTGACAAAAAAAGGCCTAAGGGCTTAATGAGAGAATTGAAGTTGAAACAGGGCCTACCAATGATAGAAATGATAGAAACTGAACAAAGGTTTCTAGAGAGCAAACAAGTTTGGGGGCCCACACTCAGTGATTCATGAGACTCAAAGCCTTACCTTGGTCATCTTCTGAAACTCCTGGATGAGACAGATCCACAACTATTTGTTCCCTTGGTACTTTTGGATCATATATGTGGAGGTGTGCACCTTCATCCATCAAATATTTGCTAATATATATACTAGAAGATTCTCTGAAGAAAAAAAATCAGTATTGCTAAGCTTTTTATTTATTTATTTTTTCCTTTATTGATTTTTAGAGAGAGAGGAAGAGAGAAGGAGAAAGAGATGGAAACATTGATGAGAGAAAACATCGACTGGCCGCCTCCTGCATGCCCTGCACATGGGCCCACAACCTGGACATGTGCCCTGACCGGAAATTGAACTGGCGAGCTCTTGGTGCATGGCTCAAAGCTCAACCGCTGAGCCACACCAGCCCAGGCGCTAAGCTTTTTATTTATTATACTTTTAATATGTTTTAATCAATTTATTTATTTATTTATTTATTTATTTATTTATTTATTTATTTATATTTTTATCCTTACCCAAGGACATTTTTCATTTTTTGTTCAGATAGAGTGGGAGGGAGAGAGAGGAAGAGAGAGAGAGAGAGAGAGAGAGAGAGAGAGAGAAAGAAACATCGATGTGAAAGGGACACATCGAGTGGCTGTCACCCTCACCACTAAACATCGATGTGAAAGGGACACATCGAGTGGCTGTCACCCTCACCACTAACCAGGTCCGGGGACAAACCACAACCGAGATACGCGCCCTTAGTGGGAACCGAACCCAGGTCTCCCTGGACCACAGGCCAACACTCTAACTGCTGAGCCAAATTGGCCAGGGCTGTTTTTATTTATTTGTTTAGAGAAAAAGGAAAGGAGAGATAGAAACATCGATGTGAGAAACATTGATCAGCTGCCTCCTGCACGCCCCCCACTGGGGATGGAGCCCGAAACCCAGGCATGTGCCCTGACCAGGGATCAGACCAGGAATCGGACCAGGACCTCTCAGTCCATGGCACGACGCTCAATCCAATGAGCCACACCGGCTGGGCTGCTAAGCTTTTTAAATAGCTTAGGTGTTTAATAAACAGGTAAGATTCTATATCCAATGAAGATATGTATAATCACCTTATTATTCTTTATTCTGTATCCATACAGATATTTCACACACTCATCCATCAGTCAAACACCAGAATAAGATAAGGAGTTAACACTCTCAAAGGGGTTGAAATACTTTAAATAGCTGATACCTCGTATCACCAGTGTCCTTTTTGAATGCAAACCCCAAAATAGCTATCTTCTTATCAGTCACTGTATTAAACAGGCCATCTATAATCCGGGAAGCAAACCTCCTTCTCTGGTAGTCATTTATATCTATGACCTGAAATTACATGTACAATTATGCAATGATTAGTTAAAACAGGTGCAGCTTGTGCCATACTGTACATTGCTCAGAGTTTTATGATGAGTACTGTTGTATGAATCCAAGGCTTATAAATTACAGGAAACAAAGATTAACCAACCTCTTTAGTATCTACAGATAAAAAATAAACAAAAACCGACTCCCCCCTCCTTAAAGCCATACTAAAAAAATTTAATTCTCCCCCAGCTGGTGTGGTTCAGTGGTTGAGCATCGACCCATGACCCAGGAGGTCGCCAGTTCGATTCCCATTCAGGGCACATGCCCACGTTGTGGGCCCGATCCCCAGTGTGAGGCGGCCAGTTGACGTTCTCTCATCGATGTTTCTCTCTTTCTTCCCCTCTCACTTCCTCTCTCTCTAAAAATCAATAAAGAAAAAAATATATAATTCTCATTTGGCTTATCTTTCCATGTATTAGGCTGGGATGGATGTAAAGATGGAGAACACAGCTACATTTCAACTCCATTTGAGGTCCAGCTATGAGGCCAGCCTAAATAAGGCAAATAGAAAGCAGTGTTCACCTTAGCTAACTTCTCCAAACCCTGTGGAATAGGCAGTAAGCAATCAAATCCCAAAGTACTCCCCATATGCTTCACCACCACCCTCACCACCACTGAGTGCACAGAAAGTGGAAAGACGATAATCACACAATGTACAGGGTTATAGCTGCCTCCGATGAACCCTAACACCACAAACATTTGGCAGTTGTTAACCAAATGTTATGGGTACAAGTTTCTGATCATCTATCTGTTTCTCTCCTAAGAGTTTATGAACAAGACTTCATATTAGTGACCAGATGAATATAGGGAAAGAGACTGCTTTTCTGTTTTGTTTAGTTTTGTTTTGTGTTTGTTTTTTAAGGCTCTAAGCTGGTAGGGCCCTGAGAACTGGGGAAATAAGCCCAAAGTATTGGGAAATCAAGCTTTTATCTGCATTTTCCCCTCCGATAGACACTAAGATAAAGCCATTGTGTGGGATGGAGTGTACATTTCCATTAAAAATATGTGCATTTCCTTAAATTCCCACCCAGTGCTGAAATCTGAAAAACTATAAGCTTGGGGGAAAAATATTTGGGAAAGGTACGTATACTGGCTGGTGTCTTGGACAAATTACTCAGCATCTCTAAGTTTCAAGTCCCTCATTATAAATGAAGGACGATATTAGTGACTATAATGATGACTAAGCAAAGTACTTAAGAGCCTGGCATAGAGTAAGCACTCAATAAATGTTAACTGTATTTCAAATTTAAGAAGGTCTCTAATTTTAGCTAAGAGGGACAAAACAAATATCAGCATATACAAACCACTTGAAAGTATTACAGTACAGGTTCTTCCTTTATTTGATTTTATGCCGTTCATCATAAACAATTATAATTTAGAGTAAGTTCTTACTTTACTCTGAGAGCAAATTTACTTATAAAATGAGAAGAAATCGTGGTTTATCAGAAATATCTATCACAGTTGATTAGCAAAAGACAAAAACACAAAAACCCAATAAATACACCTAAAATTTACAAAATTGAATATAATAATAGTTGAGTTCCTGGAATAAATAAATCCTATCAAAAACATTTCACAGCCCTGGCCGGTTTTGCTCAGCGGTTAGAACGTTGGGCTGTGGTCCAGAGAGACCCAGGTTCAGTTCCCGCTAAGGGCACATACCTCGGTTGCAGTCTGTCCCCGGCCCTGGTTGGGTTGTGTAGGAAGCAGCCACTCGATGTGTCCCTTTCACATTGATGTTTCTCTTTCTTTCTCTCTCTTCCTCTCTCTCCTCCCACTCTATCTGAACAAAAATTGGAAAAATGTCCTCGGATGAGGATTAAAAAAAAACATTTCACAAAGGGTGACTTATTTATTTATTTTTAATCCTCACCCGAGGATATTTTTCCCTTTATCTTTAGATAGAGTGGGAGGTGAGGAGAGAGAGAGAAAAGAAACATCAATGTGAGAGAGATACATTCATTGGTTGCCTCTTGCACAATCCCAACCAGGGCCAAGGACCGAACCGCAACACAGGAACCTGCCCTTGACTGGAATTGAACCCGTGACTCTTTGGTCCATGGGCTGACACTAACCGTTGAGCCAAACCAGCCAGGGCTGACTTTTTCTTTTAAGAGTTAAAAAAAATTTTTTTTTTTCCTTTATTGATTTCAGAGCGAGAGAGGAAGCGAGAGGGAAAGAGAGACAGAAATATCAATGAGAGAAAACATTGACTGGCCACCTCCTGCATGCCCCCCACTGGGGATTTGGCCCACAACCTGGGCACATGCCCTGACCGGAAATTGAACCAGTGACCTCTTGGTGCATGGGATAATGCTCAGCCACTGAGCCACACCAGACAGGCCTTTTTTTTTTAAATCTTTACTCGATATTTTTCCATTTATCTTCAGATAGAGTGGGAAGGAGAGAGAAGGAGAGAAAGAGAAACATTAATGTGAGAGAGACATATTGACTGGTTGCCTCCTGTACAACCCCAACCAGGGCTGGGGACCAAACCACAACCAAGGTACCTGCCCTTGATTGGAATTGAACCCACGACTCTTTGGTCCGTGGGCCGATACTCTAACCGCTGAGCCAAACTGGAAGGGCTTAATTTTTTTCTTTATTGATGTTAGAGAGAGAGAGAGAGAGGAAGGGAGAAGCAGAGAGAGATAGAAACATTGATGAGAGGAGAATATCAATGATCAGCTGCCTCCTGCATGCCCCGCACTGGGGATTTGGCCCACAACCTGGGCATGTGCCCTGACCGGGAATTGAACCGGTGACCTGCTGGTTATGAGACGATGCTCAACCACTGAGCCACTCTGGCCAGGCTAGGGTGACATTTTTTAATTAGAAGTTAATCATAAGTTGTTAACTATAAAGATTAATACCTGTTGCCAATAATGAGCTACTTCAGGCAGATTCAGAGCCTCACAGAGATAAACCAAATTCAGAACATCTTTTTGAAAGCAGCTCCCACCAAAACCTAAAGAAAAAAGAAAATGACAATATTTTAATTTAGGAACTACACATCTGAATCCTTACAAATTTGTCACACTAAATCAGAGAGCCTATGCTAGGATTTTTAATACTAAAATTAAAATATTGGAAAATTAGTGAGTTTATAAATAGTGTGAAATTTGCAAGCAACTAATCAATTCTATAAATAAATTTCAAATAGTTTCTAGCTAAAGTTTTAGTATTGCTATGTACATTTTTTCTGTGATCTGGTATCACTGCCCCACATATCTAACGTCAGTGCAGGGCTGCCAAACTTTTATGAGGCAGTTAATGAATATTTTAATGTTTGTGGGCCATACAGTCTCTGGCACAACCCTTGAACTCTCCTTTGTGGCTCAAAAACAATCATAGATGATATGTAATCAAATGGGCATGACTACGTTTCAATAAACTATAAAAAGAAGCTGTGGGCAGGATTTGGCCTGAGGACCATATCTTGCCCACCCCTGTTCTAGTGCAATACAGTATACAGTGAGGGTTGGCATGGGCTCTGGAGTCAGAAACACCTAGCTGCTCATTAGTTGTATGACTTCGAGCAAGTTGCAAAAATTTCCCTGAACCTGGATCATCTCAATAAAGGAAATACTAGCACCTCTGTAACAGGTTAGAAGGATTAATAATGAGATATATAAAGTGCTGGTTCGGAACTTGGTGCATAATATGCCTTCAGTAAAATAGTAGCTATTTTTATTAAATGGTAGCTAGAAAAAAATATCAAAAAGTTAGAAAAGGCCAGGGAAACCAGTATTGGAAAATGGCATAAAGCCCCAGAAATAATAGGAAGGGCTGCCCTATGGCCCAATCTGTAAAAGGCTCTGTTTACTTTTACGTCAACCTTACTAATTTACATCCAAAAATAGTCCGTTCTCATTCTCCCTGTTAGTTAGGTTCTACAACACTGGCAAATTAGCAAATAGTGAAGCACTGCTCCTAGGTGAAATATAGAGTTAGGTTCCTGTGAGCTTCTAGTCACATTTTTCATTAGCCAATCAATAAATAATCTTGTTTTATGTGCTTCTGTTTACAGACATCTTATTTAATACATATTGTGAATTCATTAACATTGAACTCACAGCCAACAGCACTATAACTCACACAGGAATGAAGTTCAACCACATGGATTTTCTCCTGAAGGCACATCACAGCGTCTGGTGCTCCAGAACACTAGATAGCACTTCAGCAATACACTTGGAGGCCATTTTAAACAGTGAAATCATCAACAAAAGGCACAAAAATGTGAAAACCTTGGCACTTAATTGCCCAAACGGCGCATGCCTGCAGTATGAAAGCTGAAACAGGAGGCAGGAGCACTGCCTCACCCAGCTCCGCTGGGGACGTGTCGGGTGACTCACAATTTGTTCTGCTCTGCTCATGTCTGCAAATGACCACAAGAGCTCCCTGAGTATTGATTTTGGGGTTACAAATAAACTTTTGCAAGTAAGCTAACTCACAAATACAGAATCTGCAAATAAAGATCACCAAAGCCACATTTCAAAAAGTACATTAGTAAGAAAAGCAAATGACAGACAATTTTTTACTACTTGCTTTGGGTATTACTTGAGTTATTTTTTATGTGGTTTCCCAAACGTATTCTTCCTAAATGTTCTTACTAAATACTAATTTATTCCTCCTAAAGCACTGAACTATATTTATCCTACTAATCAATCAGTAATTATAAAACAATGTAAGTAACTGTTACCTCACTTAAAAAGTCCCTGATAGGCCCTGGCTGGTTTGGTTCAGCGGTTGGAGTATCGGCCTGCAGACCAGGGAGTCTTGGTTCCCCCTAGGGGCACGTACAAAAAAAAAAAGTCCCTGATAGGCCCTGGCCAGTTTTGCTCAGTGGTTAGAGCATCGACCCATGGACCAAAGGGTCGTGGGTTTGATTCCCAGTCAAGGGCACGTACCTGGGTTGCAGGTTTAATCCCCGGCCCCAGTTGGGGTCATACAGGAGGCAACTAATCATGTATCTCTCTCACATTGTTGTTTCTCTCTCTCTCCTTCTCTTCCACTCTATCTAAAAATCAATGGAAAGCCCTGGCCGGTTTGGCTCAGCAGTTAGAGCATTGGCCTGTGGACCAGAGAGTCCTGGGTTCAGTTCCCGCTAAGGGCATGTACCTTGGTTGCAATTTGACCTTGCCCTGGTTGGGGTCATATGGGTGGCAATCACTCGATGTGTCTCTCTCACATCGACATTTCTCTCTCTCTCTTCCCCACTCTCTCCCTCCCGCTCTACCTGAAGATATTGCAAAAATGTTCTCGGGTGAGGATTAAAAACAAAAAAAGTCCCTGATAGGCTGAAGGCTACAATGTATAATGGAATAATTATTTTAAGGGCATTCAGTTAAACAAAGACTTCCTTAAATTTAGAGAGCTAGCTAAATAAGCCCACTTTATGTACTGAAAATTTTCAGTTTACCAACACTGGCTTTCAGAAACTTATTTCCAATCCTCTGGTCCATTCCAATGGCTGTTGCCACCTCTTCCACATCAGCTCCTGTCGCTTCACAGAGGGCGCTTATGGAGTTAATGCTGCTGATTCTCTGGGCAAGAAAAGCATTTGCGGCCTTAAAAAATTAAAAAAGGAAAACCACGATAAGCTAAAATAGCAATTTTATGCATATGCGTTATATTTCATTGAGTTGATGCAAATTACTGAGGGAGATATAAAAGTTACTGATGGGCTTGATTTGAGGAGGCAATAGATAGGTTGGTAAGTAGGGGAAAATGTTTTGATTCAAAAAGAAAGATGCTTATGAAAGATGGCAAAAGAAGGGAAAGGATGACTTTAAAAATTACTATTTTATTCTATCTTCCATTTTCTTATATTTTTTAATTTTTAGAATTTTCCAAAATATTTTATACATGAATGTTTGAATCCCCTTGTGAAAATTATTTATAATGTATAAAAATATTATCTTCAAAAGCATACCTTTTGTTAATATTAAGAAAGTAGCTGTATAACCTAATCGGTTTAAGAGAAATAAATCCTTGGCTTTAAATTAATGGAGAGTTGAATGCTATGTACCAACCAGTTTGGAAAGTTCTGAAGACCAAGTGTTAGTGGTGAGGATCTTTCCCTTGGGAACCCAGTGCTCATACACAGCGCACAGTGCCTGCACAGCTCTCTGGCCCTCTGGGGTTTCATCCCCTCCGATCAGTACTCTGTCTGGGTTCTTTAGGTCCTTGATGGCCGTGCCTTCTGCCAAGAACTCAGGGTTGGACAGAACCTAGAATCCCAATGCAAAGAAAGATTTCAGCTAGAGTTAATTATGAACAAATTTAAGACATCGATATTTATATAAGAAGAACCAGATTCTAATGCTTCCTTTTTTAATACCTGTAAATTCAAGTTGGGTTTTGTGTTCGCATCAAATATTTGACGAATACTTTCAGCTGCCCTCACAGGAACTGTGCTTTTCTCAGTCACAATTTTGTACCCATGTGAGTTTTGCACAATGCGTCTAGCACAAGCTTCGATATACTTCAGATCTGCTGCGCGGCCTTTCCCCATTCCGTAGGTTTTTGTTGGAGTATTCACCTAATGATATTCAGGATTAAGAACAGATTATCTGTGAGACATTCAGAGATTTCAAGATAGGCCCTGGGCCATAAATTAGCTAGTCAAGTGGGAAATTAACTATCATCTGTAGCGCTGACTTTAATCCTCTATTAGTTCCTCAAAAACAATACATTTTGCCCTGGCCAGTTTGGCTCAGCTATTAGAGCATCAGCCCTCAGACCAGAGTCTTGAGTTAATTTCCAGTCAAGGGCACCTACCTTGGTTACGGTTTGGTCCCTGGCCCTGGTTGGGGTCATGCAGGAGGTAACCAATCAATGTTTCTCTCTCACATTGATGTTTCTCTCTCTCTTTCTCTCTTTCTCTCTCTCTCTCCCCCCCCTTCCCACCCTATCTGAAAATAAAATGGAAAAATATCCTTGGGTAAGGATTAAAAAAATATATACATTTTATAAATATAATCACCAGAAGGACAGCTTGAAGCATCTGGAGAATGCACTCAATACATTTTTGTTGAGAACTATCATTCATGTGTCAGATACCAGGGCAGGAAGGTTCTAAGCAAAGCCCTGGAGATATAAACATGAAAAAAAACTTCTTATCCTAAAGGAGTTCACAATCTGAAATAAAATGTAAATTTTTTCTTCTTTCCTCTCTTCATTGTATGTAATATATTCTCATGGTCTTTAAATTCCTTTTTAACTCTCCTTTATAGAACTATATCAATGGCTTTTTTAAATGTTTGCAGTATCATAAATATTTTCTTGGCTCAGTGAAGCTAAGAATTATCTAACATCTTCAGGATACAGAATACTATGTAAACAAAGACTAGCAAACAGAAAGAAAAATAAATCATGAGTCCAGAGTCTAGGCATTAGTTTTGGCTTAGCTACATTATATAACCTCGGGGAAGTGTGGCTGTACCTCAATGACTTCATTGGAAAATGAGGATAACACACTCTCTAAAATCTAACACATGCATTTTAAAACACTGATAAAAAAATGAAAGTACTCTGAAAAGTCTAAAATTCTATACAGGAATAATTTTTGAACCAGTAGTAAGTAGCACCAATGCTCTTGACAAGCTTGTAACCTAATAGAGGAACTAAATAAAGAAATCAAACCAAAATAAATAAAAACTTGAGGATTGAGTTGAGGTGTGAAAAAAATCAGGAAGAAAGAGTTGTTTATATGCGTGGAACAACTCAGGAAAAGACTTAGTCATGAAGTCAGGGTGCAATGGAGTGCAGAAGGGCAATGACAGCTGGGTAATGGGATAAGGTGAAATAAGCCAGAGATGGGAGATGACAGATGGCTTCCCCTGGTAAAGGAGCTCTGAAAATAACAATTGAAAACTGATTTGTATAAATCTATTCCTATCTGAAATCCCCCCAAAATAATCTGGGCTGGGAGGAAAGGGAAAGAAGTAGTAAATGAAGCAAGATGAGCCATAATTGTTGACAATAAGTAAATAGGGATTCATTATATTACTGTCTTCATCTTTTGTGTAAGTTTGGTTATTTTCCATAATGAAATGTATACAACAAGCAAATTAAAAAAAACTGATCCAGATAATAATGGAAACTAGATGTGAGTTATAAAGCAATAAATTACCCTGACAGGCACATAAAGTAATAAATGGCTTGGAAAGATTCGAGGCAGCTCAGCTTAGATCGGCTGAGAGGCATATGTAAAATCAGCTCTCTGTCAGGCCAACCTACAGTGGACTCTGTTGCCCAAGAACAGATTATTTTTTTAAATGTTTTTACAGAAAAGTCCCCTGTTGCCATTCCAGGCTCTCGTTATCCCTAAACTAAGATAACCAGAGGAATAAGGTAACTTCTTGATTAACTCCAAGTATCTAGCTACTCCAAAATATTTTCTCTGCCTCTACCCTACCTCTTAACCTTTCTGAAGGTTAAGTAGAGGATGGGTAAGTAAGTCATAGAAGCTGCACCAATTTCTCTGAAATAATTAAAAAGGCCTGGCTAAATAAGAGATTGGCTTCATTACCACTTTATCCTAGAATTCACATATCTTCACAGTACTCTTTTTGTCTCACTAGTCAGAAAAAAACCCTGTATTTAACTCACAGTCATTAACAATTTGCATAAAGGGTAGATGGACCTTATGATATTTCTTCCCTTTATCTCTTGGGACTCAGTTAAAACTCACACCACTGGCTTTACCTTTATTCCTTAAGGTCCTAAATGTCTTGAGTCATATAACACCCTCACTCAGACACCAACTGGTGAAACTATACCCTCACACAATATGTGTGTAGATGGTTACCAGGACAGCAAGAAATATAGTAGTTACCTTCATTCAACTACTGTATTACCAGAGTTTACTCCCAAGCATTGGATGTGTTTGTGGGGTTTTTTTTTGTTTGTGTTTTCATTACAAAGGTACCATAGTTTAGACATATTATGAGCAGAAGGTATCTGTGGGCTAGCCTGACAACCTAACCAACAGATGCCAAGTTTCAAATAATTAATTTTAAATGAGTTTTAGAACATAATTCATCTAGATAGGAGATGCCTGTAAGTTCGCAAGCAAACTTTACCTGATTCTCTTTACCTAATCTCTACCAATCAGAGAAAAAGACAAATGATAAAATAAAATACTACCACACATTATCAGCACTTCCTAATTCTATATTTCAGACTAGAATTTTCTCTGGATTTATTTGTTCAATGATCTGATGACATATTTGACCAAATGATTATAGGGTTTGGCGAAGTATTGAAAGAAGTCAGTGACAACCAAAATTCAACTGGACAATTCTATACTAAGCAATGCTGTGGCTTAATACAATGGATTTATCATTAAAATAGAATGGAACTTCTGTACAGACAAGAATATACTAAAACTCACACAGCAAAGGAAAATACTTACAGAAATAAATACAAGATCGGCTTCTTTAATGGCATCATCAATATTGGTAGAAAAAAATAGATTTTTTCCTCGACAGGCTTCTACCACTTCTTTTAGTCCTGGCTAAAAAGAAAAAAGGAGCTATACATACTATTTACCAGTCATATGAGATTATCAACAGTATAAAATTACACGTGTGAAAGCAGAAGTTTATATTGTAAGTTAAAGGTCTAGATTTGCTCTCAAATAATCTCTTTGTAGAAGATCAAAGATCATACACTGAAGGCCATGTGTACTTTATCTAACATGACTAAATAAAGCAAAATTAAACTTACCACAATTAAAGCAGCAGTTCATTTTAATGCTGTGTCATTGTTTACCATGTGTCTGATTGTTTCTTAAGAGTTAATAATTAACTCCGATTATCAACACAATTATCAGAAAATTAAATGTGTTCTGTGATTTCAAGCAAACATTTGATTTCGCATTATCATTATGAATATAGGTTTTTACCTCCAAGAATTTAGGCCATACAACTGGTTGTGAAATGGTCACTATTTACACATACATAAACATATATATTTTTCTTAGTCCTATTATAAGAAACACTCCTAATGAAAATTGTTACTTTTCCAAAACAATTTAACAGGAGGTACAGTAATGTTAATATTAAGCTGTGCCATACCACCTAACAATTCCTGCCCCCCTGACCCCCCAAATCAAGTCTAAATCTGATCAGACCAGTCCAATCAGCAAAATCCAGACTGTAAAAATTTCTACAGGATAAACAACTTGGTTTCTTCAACAAATAAATTACAGAAAAACAGAGTGATAGAGATTAAATACTGTGGTCTTAAAAGACACTTAAGCGATACAAATCTGTTGAGATGTATGGATCTTACTTGGATCCTAATTCAAATAAACTATGGAAAGAAGGACATGTATAAGAATTCTTGATATTAAGAAATTGTTTAAGCCCTGGATCTTTTGGCTCAGTGTTTAGAGTGTCGGCCCTAGGACCAAAGAGTCACAGGTTCTATTCTCAGTCAAGGGCATGTACCTGGGTTGCAAGTTCAATCTCCAGACCCATTCAGGGTCATGTGGGAGGCAACCAATTGATGTGTCTCTCTCATATTAATGTTTCACTCTCCCTCTCTCTCTTTTTCTCTCCCTCCCTTCCATTCTATCTAAAAAATCAATAGAGCCCTGACCGGTTTGGCTCAGTGGTTAGAGCATTGGCCTGAGGTCCAGAGAGACCCAGGTTTGGTTCCCGCTAAGAGCGCGTACCTTGGTTGCAGTTTGTCCCCGGCCCTGGTTGGTCATGTGGGTGGTAGCCACTTGATGTGTCCCTTTCACGTCGATGTTTCTCTCTCTCTCTCTGTTCCTCTCTCTCCCTCACGCTCTATCTGAACAAAAAATGAAAAAAACATCCTCCAAGGTGAGGATAAAAAAAATAAAAATTAAAGTAAAAAAAAATCAATAAAAAATATCCTTGGGTGAGGATTACTCCCCCTTCCCAAAAAAACCACTTCAGGGGCTTCAGGTTTAGAATTACATCCAGAGGCAATTCACTTCTCTTCATGGTTCTCAGGGCTTTGAACATAAGCAATTAGAGGAAGTATAAAATGTAAATTCAATTTCCATTAGTTTGACTGAAATATATACTTGAACCAGCAAAATATATGAACTACTACAACCATAAATAGTCATCAATCATAGTAACATTTCCTTGGTTATTCTGACTATGTTCTGGAAAATCAAACTAAAAGGTTATGAGATTTTGCAGAGGAAATTTAATTCAGTCATATATAATCTCTTAATATTGTATTTAAATTAACCTAAAATCAGAGCAATGTAGAATTTATACTAAGCTTTGGTAAGACCTCAAAATTAACAACTACATTATTCTGCTAAAACCAGTGGGATATTTGTAGATCTCCAAAAGTGATGCAGTTAGTAATATAGATTCTACGTCTTATTAAATTCATTATGTAATTATCATAATTAGTATTTAGAATTTATATGGTACTTTTTATGGAAGAACTCAAATCCTTTCACAGGATAAAATTATCTTTAATTTTACTCAGAAAAAGAAAAGCAAATTGTTCATTTTGTGTGTGTGTGTGTGTGTGTGTGTGTGTGTGTGTGTTTTATCTTCACCCTAGGATATTTTTCTGTTTATCTTCAGATAGAGTGGGAAGGAGGGAAAGAGAGAGAGAGAAACATCAATTTGTTGTTCCACTTATTTATGCATTCATTGGTTGACTCTTGTATGTGCCCTGACCTGGGAATCAAACCCGAAACCTTGGCTTATTTGGATGATGCTCTAACCAACAGAGCTACCTGGCCAGGGCCTCAACTTAGATTTTTTGACTTAATGATGCGAAAGCGATATGCATTCAGTAGAAACTATACTTCAAATTTCAATTTTGATGTTTTCCCAATGTAGCGATACATAGTGCCATTCTTTCTCATGGTTTCTGGTCAGCAACAGTGATTATAAGTATAATGTGTTGCCAGTGTTTTTTGAAAATTATGTTTTGTGTTTTTGCATCCCATCGTGTCTACAAAGCATTTGTCTCCTGTTCCTGGTGAGAAGAGGAAGGCAATTACTCTTGATGGAACTCAAGATAAAGGCCCAACTGCTGGCTAATGTAAGCAGTCTGAGAACATTTAAAATAGGTTAGGCTAAACTATGATGTTCAATAGATTAGGGGTATTAAAATCAATTTTTCACTTACAATAGATTTATCTGGACATAATCCCACTCATAAGTTGAGGAGCATCTGTACTGCTTTGAACCTTTACTATTCACAAGTCCTTGACCCAACTCTATCCTTTTACCTTCGTCAGAATATTTTACCTCACAATTCCAGACAATTAAGATGACCAATATGTCAGTCACCTTTATTTCATGTCCCCAGCAAAACTGTCTATATCTTTATCCATCCTTGTTTGCTTCCCTCCAGTCTCCAAGAAGAGGCTTTCAAGACCAATCCCTTCACTTATACTTTTGATCCCATCCTTCTGCTCTTTCTAGACTGTATTCCATCATTTAGCCCCATTCTTCTTATGCTTTTGACTGTTCCTTCTCTACGTGATTTGTCTACCTTAGTTTATTAACATGTTCAATCATCAACCATAGAAAAAATATAAATAAAATAATTGCCTTTACCCTATGCCCCTCTTCAGTGACCACCCCCTTTATTTCCTTCTAAATTAAACTTCTTAAAAGAAGATTCTTGGCTGGCTGGTGTGGCTCAGTGGATTGAGTGTCGTCCCATGGACTGAGAGGTCCTGGTTTGATTCCTGGTCAAGGCACATACCCAGGTTATGGGCTCAATACCCAGTAGGGGGCATGCAGAAGGCAGCTGATCAGTTTCTCACATTGATGTTTCTATCTCTCTCTCCCTTCCTCTCTCTACAGAAAATCAATAAAAGCATTTTTTTTTTAAAAGGAGAGTCTTTCTTTTTTCCTACATTCTCTCACCCTAAATCTCGTATCATTTGTAATTATTCTCGCAAAAGTTATAATCCCCTCCATAATACAAAACTTAATGAATATGCCTCGGCCCTTACTTCTCCTGTATTTAGCATAATTGACAGCTTACTCATTGATTCAGCAAACATTTATTGAACACTTACAATGTGCTGGTAACTGTGTTAGTCATTCATAATCAAAACATACATCTTTATGGACTTTGCGCTACTAAAATGCTTCTGGTATTTGGTTCACCTTCTCTAAACCAACTCTTTATTGCTTCTCTATGGCATTTCCTCCTACACCCACTATCAAACATTTGAGTTTTCCAGGGTTCTATCCTTGACCCATGCTCTGTTCTTTCTATGAGCTCTTGTTGGGAGGGCTCAACTACACTGATTTTAACTACTTGCATAATCCTAATTTTACATCTCTAGTCCTGAATTCTTTGCCTAAACTTTTGATATATATCCAATGGCCTGCTGAACATCTATCTCTGTTTAGACATCCCAAAGCCTCTATAACTATATAGGACGAAACAGAAATCACTATTTCATCTCCCACCCCTTTCCAAATACCCTGCATTCTTGTTCTCAATTAATGGCACAGTCATGCACCCAATCATCCAAACCAGAAACCTGGATATCATTCTAGTTTCTTTCCTCTCCTTCTTCCCTCCTATACAATCAACAATCAAGTCCTGTTATTTTTTAATCTGAGTATTTCTCTAATTAGTCTAGTGAGGCTCAGAGTGAATGGACTGAAGGTAGAACAACTCTCAAGAAAGCTGTGTACTCAAAAGAGCACATAATTTTGATTATATATTAGTTATTTTTCTATCAGTAGCCAGGAGTTAAACATTAATCATCAAGAGGGACTTCCTGACATGAAAATGTGGTATTTACAATGAAAAACCGAAGCCATGATTTTTATGATATTCTTGAAAACAAATATCTATTTAGTTGTACATTTTCAAATGCATTATAGAATACACATTTACAGAAGAAATTTAATTGCAAATGCATCCAAGATTTCTCTGAAAATAAACATACTTCTTTGCACTGTCCAAGGTAGGTAAGTATAAAATTACAACTAGTAACAACATGTATAAACTACTCAAAAAGCAATTCAGAAAGCAGCACGGACTCTGATTAAATCTGCCATTCTTTTTTGTTCTATTATAGTTGTTACTCTTTGACATTTCACCTAATATTTCACATCTATAATATGGACAAGGACATGTGCAGAAATAGTTAATTTAACATTAAAAAGTGGAACAAGCCCTGGCCAGTTTTGGTCAGCGGTTAGAGCATCGGCCTGCGATCCAGAGTCCTGGGTTCGGTTCCCACTAAGGGCACGTACCTCGGTTGCAGTTTGTCCCTGGCCCTGGTTGGGTCGTGTGGGAGGCAGCCACTCGATGTGTCCCTTTCACGTCAATGTTTCTCTCTCTCTCCCCCTTCCACTCTATCTAAACAAAAAATGGAAAAATGTCCTCGGGTGAGGATAAAAAAAAATGTGGAACACAGGTCTAATTATCTTTGAAAATGGATAATTGGGTCATAACAATTCATTTCCCCAGATTATTTTTAAAACACAATCTTACAGAAATCTTTTTTTTAAGATTTAAAAAAAATTGATTTAT